AAAAAAAAAAAAAAAAGTGGATCCCTCATGAATGGGATTAGTGCCTTTATAAAAGAGTCCCTAGAGAGTTCTCCATGTGAAGACACAAGGAAAAGTTAGCCATCTATAACCTGGAAGAGGTCCCTTGCCAGGACCCAACCATACTGGCATCCTGATTTTGAATCTCCAGCTCGTAGAATTATGAGAAGTACATTTTTGTTGTTTATACCACCCAGTCTGTGATATTTTGCTATGGCAGCCCTAGCAAATGAAAACAAAATCCTCCCTCACTAGAGTCTGAACCAATGGGTCAGTAGTCATTCAGCTATATGGTACCTGGCACATGGTAGGCATTTGGTAGATGTTGTTCAATAGGTGGATGGACAAATTGTTTGGAGGAGGCCCTTAGAGATCATCTGGTTCAATTCAGGTCTCCTATTTCCCAGACTTGTGCCCTTTCTGCCACACAGATGGAAGGTGTTACATCATTTCTCCAAGTGTTAGTTTTCAAATATTTTCATGTACTATTTTGAGTACTTTCAAAATAATTTAAACAGGCATAGTCCCTGACATTTAAACTTTTAAAGACATTTTTGTTCTTTTCTGACCTCTACTCCTAGTTTCAGAGAAAAACCACAGAATATTAGAGCCTGAAGGAATCTTGGAGACTATTTCATTGAACCCGTCAATTAAGAAGATTTAAAAAATTTTAAATCTAATATAACTACACTGAAGAAAAATTTGGAAGTACAAACAGAGAGATCATTATTTTTATTTTTTTATTTTTTGAGTTAGGGTCTTGCTCTGTCACCCAGGCTGGAGTGCAATGGCACGATTATAGCTCACTGTAGCCTTAAACTCCCAGGCTCAGGAGATCCTTCTGCCTCAGTCTCCTGAGTATCTGGGACTACAGGCACATACCACCAGGCCCAGCTAATTTTTAAAAAATTATTATTTGTAGAGACGAAGTCTCAATATGTTGCCCAGGCTGGTCTTCAACTCGTGGGCTCAAGTAATCCTCGTGCCTCAGTCTACCAAAGTTCTGAGATTATAGGTGTGAGTCACTGAGCCCAGCCTATTTTATTCCTTTGTTGATCAAAATTCCTTAATTTCTTTTTCTTTTTCTTTTTTTTTTTTGAGTTGGAGTCTCACTCTGTCACCCAGGCTGGAGTGCAGTGGCATGCTCCTGGCTACCACAGCCTCGACCTGCTGGGCTCCGGCAATCCTTCCGCCTCAGCCTTCCAAGTAGCTGGAACTACAGGCGTGCGCTACCACGCCCGGCTAATTTTTTGATTTATTGTAGAGATGAGGTCTCGCCAAGTTGTCCAGGTGGGTCTCGAACCCGCGGGGTCAGGCAATTCACTCACCTCAGCCTCCCAAAGCACGGGATTACAGGCTGAGCCACTGAGCCCAGCAAAATTCCTTAATTTCAATGAAGTCAGCCTCCCATATAGCTGGGTCTACACTGCATTGGTACTTGCCTGGCTACGGGTCCAAGATTCTTAGTCTCTTGTTTTTTCTGCAGCCCTATGTGACCCTAATTTCATAAGTGTAACTGAAAGTGATGCTGCATGGTACAATAGTATTATGTCTCCAAAACTTCAGACATTTATAGACCATATTTATGATTTTTTTCTTCAGCTTGTTCCACCTTTACTATTATTTACTTTATACTTTTTCTCTAAATAAACTTATTTTGCAAAACAGCCTTATTATTATCTGTGAAATTATAGGTTTGATATATGCTTAGATTTTTTTCTAACATGCATTAGAATAAACATTTAACTACTAAAGTTTAAAAAAAAGCTTATTTATGTTCCATCTGAAATCAGTTTTGAAAACACTGATATAGACTGGGCTCGGTGGCTCAGCCTGTAATCCCAGCACTTTGGGAGGCCGAGGCAAGTGGACTGCCTGAGCCTGCGGGTTGGAGATCTGCCTGGGCAACTTGGCGAGACCTCATCTCTACAATAAATAAAAAATTAGCCGGGTGTGGTAGTGCACGCCTGTAGTTCTGGCTACTTGGAAGGCTGAGGTGGAAGGATCGCTGGAGCCCATCAGGTCGAGGTTGCAGTGGCTGGGAGTGTGCCACTGCACTCCAGCCTGGGCGACAGAGTGAGACTCCAACTCAAAAAACAAAGCAAAACAAAACACTGATACAAAGAAATAAGCATGGACTTAATATCCAGATAGAGCTGGAGTCAGCTATGAGCTCTGTCACTTAACTATGTCATCTTGGACAAGTCCCTTGGCTTCTTTGATCCTTGATTCTTTTGAGTTGGAGCCTCACTCCGTTGCTCAGGCTAGAGTGCAGTGGCACACTCACAACCACCCCAGCGTCAGCCTGTTGGGCTCAGGTGATCCTTCCGTCTTAGCCTTTCAAGCAGCTGTTACTACAGGCGCGCGCTACCACGCCTGGCTAATTTTTCGATTTTATTGTAGAGATGAGGTCTCGCCAAGTGGCCCGGGCTGTTCTTGAACCCGTGAGCTCAGGCAGTCCCCTCACCTCGGCTTCTCAAAGTGCTGAGATTACAGGCTTGAGTCACCACGCCCGGCCGATAAAGTTTAATTTATACATTAGGCATAATTAGAGATCAACAACAA